TGAAGCTCTCCAGCAACTCTGCAGAGGTCCTAGAACTGCTTAAAGCAGGCCTGCACAATATGTGGCCCGCGTGGGCTCACTGTGCGGCGCGCGGGCAAACGGCGGGGTGGGGCTGTCGGGTTTGCCCGGGGCCAGTGCAACCACTAGGGCCGGCGAACTAGGCAGTCACCTAGGGCGCCCAGTGGTTGGGGGTGTCCGGGATTTTTCCTCCCTCCCCTCCCTTCTCCTCACGCAGAGTGTGGCGCGGCTGATTGGGCGCCTGGGCCTGATTTAGCTGCTCCCATTGGCCTTCAGCAGGCAAAGTCCCTCCCCCGCTCCCTCCCTCCCCCGCCTCAGCATTGCAGCACTCTGCGGGGGAGGGATTGTGTGCTCCGCAGCTTGTTTGGTTTAGCTCCATGTGGAGTGGCATGGTAGTAAGGGGAGTCCCGGGGGGCAGTCAGGGAGCAGGAGGAAGGTTGGATGGGTCAGGAGTTCGGGGGGTGGGTTGTCAGGGGGCGGGGAGTGGTTGGATGGGGCGTGGGAGTCCCAGGGGTCTCTCTGGGGGCGCGGGTGTGGATAAGGGTTGGGGCAGCCAGGGGACAAGTAGGGGGTAGGGTCCTAGGGGGGCAATTAGGGTGGGGTGGTCTCAGCAGGGGGCAGTCAGGGGACAAGGAGCAGGGGGGGTTTGGAGGTACTGAGGGGGGTGGGAAGTGGGAGAGAGAGTGGATGGGGGCAGGGCTCGGGTGGGCTCTCCCCCCGTCCTTTTTTTTTTGATTGTTGAAATATGGTAACCCTAAAAAAGCGGTGCCCTGGCTCGGCAGGGAGGAGCCGCCTTCTGGAGGCACTGGAGAGCCAGAGCGTCGGCTTGCAGGGGCGGCGAGCCCCAGCCATGGAGGAGCCGGCGTGGCACAGGGGGGCAGCAGCCCTGCAAAGGCGGCAGCACCGCTAGCGGGGAGCAGCTGTGCCCCCCGCCCCTCCTGCCCAGGCTGCGGCCTGGCACCCCCCCCCAGGGCTCCTGCAGGCTGCAGCAGATGCATGCGGTCGGCAGCCCTCGTGCGCCCCCCTCGCCATGTTCGGGCTTTGCAGGTCCCGGGCATGTGAGTCGCCGGGGCGCGGGGCCCTGAGCCTGTTCCGGGAGGGGCAGCGGCAGTGGTGGCTCACACTCCCGGGAGCCGCAGAGCCCGAGCGCGGAGGGGGCAGCTGGGGGGGGGGGGGCGGGGGGGGCCGGCGCCAGCAAGCCTCCGCTGCACCGGGGGGGGGCCCGGGGGGGGGGGGCGCCGGGCCACAGCCTGGGCAGGAGGGTGGGGGGGCGTGGCTGCTCCCCGCTAGCCGTGCCACCGCCTTTGCAGGGCTGCTGCTCCCCTGCACCGCGCCGGCTCCTCCATGGCTGGGGCTCGCTGCTGCCGCAAGCGGGATGCTCTGGCTCTCTGGTGCCTCCGGAAGGCAGCTCCTCCCTGCCAAGCTGCTGCAGCAGCCCAAGCCCGGCAATGTCAGTGAGTGGGCTTCGGGTGGGGACCGCCGGGGAGGGGAGGGCTCGCGGAGGAGCTGTGCACCCTCCAGGGGAGTTCAGGGGGTGGGGGGGGGGAACCTGGTCTCGGGAGCAGCCCCTGGGCACGGCTGGCCCCTGGGGTCTATAAAGGCTCGTTGGGATTTGCCCCTCAATGAACCGATGTGTGTGTGTGTGGGGGGGGGAGGGGTGTTGTGTTTCGGGGAGGCTGGGGGTGGTGGTGTTTCGGCAGCGCTGGGGAGCAGGGGTTCAGCCCTCAGCTGTTTTCTTTGGAGTAATATGGCCCTCGCCACTTTACAAGTTGTGCAGGCCTGGCTTAAAGTCATCGCTGGGAATGGGGTGGGAGGAGAGGGAGGAAGGGACATAGAATTCACTTCTTCATCTGGGGATGATGATGGCAATCTTGCTGGTTCTGGTGGAACTGTTGGATCTGGGGGCAGATCTGAGCGTCCCCTTGGAGGGGAGGCAAGGGTAACTCCCTGGCAAATTGGATCAACTCTGCAGAGGGGTATTGATCCCAAGGTCCCCAATATGGCCAGTAGGAAGGGTCGATAGGTGGTCATTGCATAAGGTACCAGCGGCTCCTAGTTAGATGAGGCAGAGGTTGGTCCCAAACCTGTGTGGGTCTTTTGGGTGGTGAAGGATACGTAGGGTAAAAGAAGAATGGTTTATCAGATGGCTCAGAATCTCCTGATGAGGAGAAGGCTGATTCTGGTTCCAGTAGCAGTATCATTGATTCTGTTGGAGGGGAGATGTATTCTGTGTATAGGACGGGTGATAAGCTCCTTCCAGCAGTCAATTACCTTGGAGGTGATATTATCTCCTTGAAACGGAGGGAACTGATGGAGTAGGGGATTCCGGATCTGGGAGAGCAAAACTGTCCTGTGAGGCAGCAACAGATTCAGAGCTTCCAGTGTGAGAGGGGTTCTGCTTGTCCAGGTGGTCAGAACCTATGAGGAGGTTGGTATCTGAAGTTGGCAGTTATCAGACTTCATCGGTGTTGACAAATCCCGGGGTTTAGAAGGAGCTGAGGACGACGGTACTGCCAGAAAACAGTCCAGTACTGATGGAGCCCAATGCTTATGGGCGTTCTTGTCATGAGACTTAGTCTCTTTCTTGTCCCTGAGACTTAGTACATCCTAAGTCCTCACAGGCCAAGCTGGTAGGCTTGCTTACAGCTGAGTCCGACTTCTTTGACGTGGACTTTGAGGAAGACTTAGTTTCATACTCATGAGAAGCCTGTGGGGGTAGATTCTCCCATAACAGAGTTGGACTTCGCAGCAGGAGGCGCATTCCTTGCTGAATCAGGCCAATGTACAAGGGATGTTCCCTGGCCTGGATCCAATTGGGGCCTCATGGCCTTCTCCATGAGGTATTTTCAGAGATGGAATTCCCACCTTTCTCAGGTGCAACTGGGGAACGATTGGCAGATACTGCACCTCGCTGTGATGTGAGCTTCCCCAAGGTAGTACAGGCAGTGCCTGTGGTCTTCACTGACCAAGAAGGATCGTGGGCAAGAAGCACAAAGTTTGAAGCCCAGAGTCCTGGGCATAGTCCACTACTCGAATGTGGTACAGGGGAGGGAGGTGTCCCCCTGGGAGACTAATCTAATGCTAAACAGTAAAACTATTAAAACTATTGAACTATTTACAAACTAGATAATTCTTATTTTGTAGAAAGAAGCCGAAACTGCGGACACTTAAGGTTCCGACCGAGACCATGTGGCGGTGAGAAGGAACTGGAGAGGCAGTCAGACCACCTTATTCTTTATCCCCTCAGTTGGAGGCACAAGGTGAGCCAGGGTGCATATGTGGGCCAATGGACACTACTTTCAAACTCTCCAGCTCTGGGCACATGGTGAGCATGCGTAAGCCCACAGTGGAATACAAATAGGGACCATCATTCAAAGAAGGTGGCGGGGTATTTACATCACACTAACAGTCACAGATTATAATTTTGGCTGGGAAATTAATTCCAATGATGCCTTTTAAAAATAAAATTAATGTAAGGTAGATTATAATAAGGTATTCCTATTCATTTTCTTATTTTTAGGTTAATCACTAATAACTATGTAAAGACATGTCTTTTATGGTTGTGTTCTTTTTGGTGAGCTTTTTGGTAAACCTAGTTTTTTGGATTCCCTGTTTGAAAAAATAAGAAGAAAATAATGTCTTTTATTATTGCAAACTACTCAAAAGACATCAGAAAAACATTTCTACTCATAATATCATCTGAATACAACCACTGGTCTATGCTAATGATATATTGGAATATCTAATGGCACCCAGTGATGTCAGTGTGACAGGTTCGGTCAGACAGATCCACTTGGGTAAAAAGTAGGATTTAAGTGGCTTCAATTAATAACAGACAGAAGTAAGTCACAAAGCAAAATAAAACAAAACACGCAAGTCTAAGCCTAATACATTAAACTGATTACAGGTAAATCTCACCCTCAGAGATGTTCCAATAAGCTTCTTTCATAGACTATCCTCCTTCCTAGTCTGGGCCCAATCCTTTCCCCTGGTACAGTCCTTGTTAGTTCCAGCAGACATCTCAGGTGGAACTAGGGGTTTTCTCATGACTGACCGCCCCTTTGTCCTGCTCCACCCCCTTTTATAGCTTTCGCACAAGGCAGGAATCTTTTGACTCTCTGGGTCCCCACCCCTCCTTCTAAATGGAAAAGTACCAGGTTTAAGATGGATGGATTTTATCATCAGGTGACATGGTCACATGTCCTGTGAGACCCCAGCCTCCATTCTTCCTGGACTGGCCCACAGGCACACCGGAAGGTTTGCATGTAAACAGAGCCATTTACAGTTCACTGATTCTGAAGCACCCTTAATGGCTTCCACTTAATATGTTTACATCAGTAATACAAGTTTATATCTTATTCTCCTAACTTCAGACACAGAAATAATATATGCAAACAAATAGGATGAACACAGTAAGTAGATTATAAGCTTTGTAATGATACCTTATAAGAGACCTTTTGCATAAAGCATATGGAGTGCAACGTCACAGTCAGAATGTACTCAAATAATCAATTCAGGCTTTTGGTTCTTGGAACTTATATGAGAACCAGTTTTCTCACAGGATATCAAATTTAAAAGTGTTAGGTATTGTATTTTCCTTATGAAATGTAGTTTGACATTTCTGAACTTCTTGTTATTCTTCTTTGAAGAAAACTACTTCAAATGTCTTTACACAATCTTTTATATTTATTACTTAGCATATCTGTGAACATTTATAACATTTTAAATATAATTTAAGTATCTGCATAAAAAAACTTAATAAAAACACATTCAAAGCAGCACTGAACTCCACATTTTAATTAAAAACCCACAGTAAGCTAAAAGGGTTGAAATATCCTTAGGATATGTCCTATAACTGGGCCAGGGCCCTCTTTTATTCCGTGTTTGTACAGTGTGTAGCACAATATGGCTTTGGGCCTCAGATGCTACTGTAATACAAATAATAATATAAACAGTGACAACCCCCCACCATTGGTACTCACTCATTGTGATGAGAATCTTGGGACAAGTGAACCATTTTCTTGTTGCCTGGGCCTGTACTGGTAATCTAAGAGGGGGAAAAAATGGGAAAAAATAAAATAAAAATGCTACAAGTTCTTGGGCTGTATTACATGTACATTGTATTTTTCCATTGGAAGAGTATATACTACCTACCGAGGTAGAAACAGACACACTAAACACAGTAAAAACAATTAGTGATACTTTCAGTTGATAACTCAAGTAGTATTTTCATAAGTATGTAAATGATTTAGGAGCCTAATCCCAGTTTTCAAAGGTAATTGAGAAGTTTAGCAGTCTTATGGTCAGATTTTCAAATGTGTCTACATGTCTAATGATGCAAATAGGTGCCTGGTGGGTTGTTAATAGAGATTAGGTGCCTAATCTGCTTAGGTGCTTTTGAAAATTTCAAAAGATGCCTATCTGCATCTTTAGGGGTCTAAATGCCTTTGGCAATGGGATTTAGGTGCTTTTGAAAAACCCACCCAGAATGTATTGTGTTTTTAAGAAATGTAGAAAAACACAAAGTTGTGACGTTAGGCTGGGGTTTTAAAATGGCTCTTACTCCCTTAGACTACTTTGAAAACCCAGGTCTTAGTCTCCAACACAGAGCAAATGCTAATGAAAATAAAAGTTAAGTAAAATGTACATATAAAATGGTATACCACTACATTGATGTCATATTCAGTTGTTCCTTCTTTAATCTCAACTGCAATCAAAAAGAAATATGAGGATTTTTAAGACTAGTTATGTATTTACCTTATATACTCCCCTCATACGGCACAAATAGGCTTTGAAAAGGGTGTGTATATGGAAAATATGGCTTAGTGGTGTTATGCAATACTACAGCAGAGCAGCCTCCTGCTCTTCTGCAGCACAATTTGCTTGTTATAGCTGCTATGCATACATACAGGAAGTGGAGTTAGGGGGTGTTACGAACCACCTGCTGAAGTTGCACACATGCAGAAAGTAAGTGCGGAAGTTACTGCTGTTTGGAGCAACAAGTCCTCTTACAATTACATACTTTAAAGTGTCCAGCGGATAAAGTCTTACAATCACTAGATGACCAAAGTCAGGACAACAAAAATCAGCTATGCTGCCAGTACTGAAAGCAGACCTGGAAACCACACAAATAAACAGCTGATATGCACATATTGTCTGGGACCATTGGGGTTTGGGTTGTTTTTTACCTATGGATCCTCTGTTTATCCACATTTGACAGTTCATCACTCATCAGGAGGATGATACATTGCATTTTCAAAGACAACAAATCACTGAATATTTCATAAAAGCAAGTTTCCTCTACTCTTACACATTTTTATGCAGAAGGAGAACCAAGGCATCTTAAGGTTCAAGTCTGGAAAATGTTCATATAATACCACAGATGCCTTTAGAAAGCTCCACAGGTTCAAAATATTTGCCAAGTTCCACAGAAGTTCCCTATCTGTAAACTGGGGAATTTCATTATAATGGGTAGAATCTCTCAAACAAACAGAACTTGAAAAGGACACCTGTTTTACTGGGTCAGTAATTATTCAAATACAACCACACCTAAAACTCTGACAGCAGGAGACGTAGCAACATTATAACTTGCTGCCTCAAAGAAATCTTGCCTGCAACCAGCATATAGAATGGGCAGTTCCAGACACCAATATTTGATATTAATTTAGTCAGATTTAATGGAGTGAAAGCAGTCTTGCTTATTCACTTAGTAACAATGAAATTGCAATCAATGCTTTCAAACAAACTTCCCCTCTAATATTACATTTTATCTTATAATTTGAGCAAGACACATTATTTGTCAAATATGGACTTTGAAATGCTGATGATCTAAAACATTTTAAATGTATATGTAATCAGGAAGTTACAACATTAGTAACCAAACTGTTACTTGAACACCATCGGTAAACATGTGGCTCAGCTCTAGAGAGTTACATCCTGCATTAATCTCAAAATGAGGTTTTCATGCTATTCCAGTGGGTATCCCTGGAATATAGTAATCCATTTTCTACACTGTGGGTATAAGAAAAGCCGACTGTGCCTATGTCATGCTTTGTTAGAGGTTCATGATCACATTATCTCATGGTGGACCTGACACTTTTATTCAGTTTACAGTATGTTCTCTGTACAGGCAACTTATTTCCTTTGCCAGGGTTGCTGACAACCTTTTCCACACTATATTAATCTTGTTTACTGACTTTATCTTGGTACAAATATCAGAAAACTGAACTTTTTATCTCAGGGAGAAAATAAACAACATGTTGACAGAAGCAGAAGCTATTTTCTGGACTAAAATTGGTTGTTTACCTGCAGCCATACTTATGGAAAAATGTTTAACTCTCCAACTCGCTTGAAATACATAATCCAAAATTTAATAAGCGTGAAAATTTCAAGAAAATCCATGTGATAAATTGTCAGGTATAAAACAATATCTTAACATAAAGAAATATGATTTGTAACTAATTTATACTGAATATAAAAGTGCTCTCAATCTAGTTACAATTCATCAGAAAGTATATTGATCAGGTTTCTCCTACATATCAAAGGTAACTTCAGTTACTAAATAGCCACAGAGGATTTATAAAATTAAATGTACAATACACACATTTATATGGATATGTATGCTATACTGATTATTATAATGTATAATAATTATATATTAAATTTAGATTTGCAACACTTCCCTCCTTCGTGAGAAACAACACACTGATAGAGGGCAACAGTCTAAGGTGATGTTAGCAATATCAGATATGGATGTCTTCTGAGTCTTCCAATAAAGAAGCCAATTGCCTTCTATATCTCACTCTAGGAAGGAGTCAGTTGGAAGGACACTATGAGCAAGATGAATGCTTGGTCAACTGGTTAGCTCCTCGGTCCATTAGAAGAGATTGTGGTAGTTGTCTACAGCTGTTTCTATGTACTGAATTCCCAGTGCTCAGAAGGAAATGCAAGAAGATAGTAAAATTAATAGTGACCATCTCCAGGGCCAATAGTAGTAAGCATAAATATACCTTTCAAACATTGACACACGCAGTCTTGGTAGTATAAATGTTTTAGGGACATAAGTTTGGAATGACCATCTAACTCCTGTATGAGTTAAGAGCATATTGAAGAAATTACAACTAAATTTTATAACCAACAAATAATATTATGTATGCAATTTTTGCCACACTTTACAGAAAAGTCTATTTTTAGAAATTTTAGGAGTTTTAATAAAATGTGTTAATACCATTTGCTGTACCCTTCCATGGGTAAAAACAAATTGCTGGGCAGTAGGAGTCCACCTGTAAGGCGGAAGGAGAGAAAAAGACAGCAACACATAATGACTTAATATTTTACTTTAAAATCATATTTGTATAGAATTTTTTTAAAAGCCTGATCTCTCATGATCTACCAGCGTTATAAAAGAATAACCTGTTTCAAATGGGTTATGGCATTTGGTCATTGTCTTGATGGTCCAGGAGATAAAGGAACTTAAACATGTCATGAGCCCAGGACTGAACGTTGATCGTACTGGAATTTAGATAACCATAATTGTGATGAAAGAGGAAAACATTTCTAAGTATTTCCCCCGCCCCCAGTTAAGAATGGCAGCTTTCTGAAAGCTGATTAGATATATGAATGTCTGGTGTAGTTCTATAAAGTACAAGTAACCAGAAGCGATGAATTAGACGGCAGAGTACAACTCAGGATGTTAAAAGTGCAAAATAAATGCAATGAAATAAACTACACAGAGCACAGGTAATGACGTGAGTGTAACAGTGAACTACAGCTCTTTGCACTCTACAACTCATCTTTGCATTCGCTTGGTCCTAGTGCTTGCCAATCCATCTACACATAGCCTATGGGCTTCTGTAATTTATACCAGCTGCAAATAGCTCCAAGGGGCTGAAACCACATCTGAAGATCAGTAATGTCTAGGGGTATCCTGGCCACTCTTCCTTTCTTCTTCTGCTACAGCAACAAGGAGAGGCATGAGACCCCCTCACAATGGCTCTGTAATGCTGTAGGATGAGTATTGCACTGAGTTGCATGGCTTTTGTGCCAGACTACACCTGCACCACTTTACAGAATATGGCCTACAGTATATTAATATCCAAAAGTGTGTGGGGTGTTTCACAGAAGACACAGAATGATTTGTGCTTGCCTCAAAGACTGAGCAGTCTAAACTTCAGATGCAAGGAGTGAAGTGGCAGGATTGGATGGGAAGAAGGATGACAAGGGTTGGCAGAATATGAATATGAAATTACTCAGTTTATGTAATGTGGACATTAGTGGGTTTTTTAATATTTAAAAATACAGAAGATAAAGTTATTAAACTGTTCTTATTGCAGACATCATGGAGGAAATGAGATTTCAGGAGAGGTTTAAATGGAGCTAAATGGAAAATAGTAGTTTGGAAAACTAAAATAGGAAGGGCACGCCACACAAAAGAACAGAAATGAAAAAAAGGCACAAATATACTTGTGGGAGAAAGATAGGCAGAGCATCAAGTGTGGCATCACTGTTAGGACAGAAGGAGGCAATACAAGAAGAATAGGAAGAGGTATTATAGTAGGCCATGAAGGTGAGGACTGAAAGTTTGTGTTAGATGTGATGGAAGAAAGGGAGTCAGTGGGGCATTCTAAAGGGGTATATGATATAATGCAGTCAGAATAATGAGCCTAGAAGATAATTTTATCATATGATTGTAGAAATTAATATTTTACTGTTATAATCCCATATGAGAAGTATGTGTATATACACTAACTCCTCACTTAACGTTGTCTTGGTTGTTTCGTTGTAACGTTGCTGATCTATTAGGGAACAAGCTCGTTTAAAGTTGCGCAATGCTCCCTTATAACGTTGTTTGGCAGCTGCCTGCTTTGTCCACTGCTTGCAGGATTCTCTGGAAGAGCAGCCCCTCCTTGGGGGGATTAGAACCAGGGAGGCTGGCAGCCCCCCCTCCCCATCAGCTCCCCTAAATTCCCTGTAAGGTATGTGGCTCATCAGCTGCCCAGAACCATTCAGCTGTCCCTCCGCACACTGTTGTGCTGCTCCTGCCCTGCC